TTTTTTTTCAAAATGACAGATAATAATATAAATCAAAATGCACAAATGTGCGAATACACAGCAGCCAACGACTGAATACACAGCAGCCAACAACTGAAAAAGTGGGAGGATAGGTCAGAAGACTGCCTAGAATCCCGGCTAGCAACGCTAGAATAAAAGACACTCGAAACTAAACTAACAAACAACACAGACAACTAAAACAAACTACAAAGACCCCAACAGGGTAATTCTCGAGTGTCGGATCCCAATAGGATAATAAATTTGACACTCGGGCTCACAGAGGCCAACTGCCCAAACCGAAAACACAAGACACTAAACCTAAACAAGAAAGCAACACATTAAAACAAACAAAACTAAAACTAAAAGCCCTTTCCCCAGCGAAAGAGTAGCCCGAACCAGCACTGAATGATCGACACAAGACAAATCCAGTCCAAGAGTCTGCTACCGAAACTTCCATAAAGCCTATATAGTAGAAAAAACCTAACATCAAACTAGTCCCCGAATCGACCCACCAATAACCGAGAGAGCCAATTCAACACCACGCCGATTCCACTTGAATTCTTCTAACACCACTAGACGAAACCGATAAAACCTCCCTCCGCTGCCTAACAGCACTAGGAAAATGGGGGATTGCGCCGAGCGAACGACCCTCTCCCTGACCACCGCAACCAGACGCCGCAGCCATTTGAGTCCCGTCGATCCAAAGACCCGCACACCGCACGTCCTCTCAGCCGACACCCCGACCAGAGGCTCCAACCCGTCTGAAAAGACGGGGCTCCACCACAAAAGACTACCCGGCAATCACAGAGAAGAGAGACAGAGGTCTTACCATTTCCAATCAGAGCTTCGCCGGCTAAGGAGGAACTCCACCACCAAGCACCAATCGGGGACGGCGCTGCCACTAGAACTCATATCTGCAACCGCGAGCTAGAGCTCAGATCGTGGCCCTTCCGCTGAGATTCAAGAGCATGCGACATCATAGGAAGACAGGACGGTCATCGACGACCCCTTGCCGTAACTATCCAACACCGAGGAAGGCGAAATCGACTGAAATCGACTGAATATTCCTTTCCTAATGGAATAATAAATATGGAATAAAATTAATTCCTTATTAAATGGAATTAAATAATAAAACATACCACTAAAGTAATATTATTGCTCTCCCCATTTAGCTCCTAATTTATCAATAAATTCAACCTCCATGATTAAATAATATTAATCTGATAGATAAATTTACCTCCCTATATTTAAGATATAACGTCAGTTGATTAATTAAATTACTGACAAAATAATTAATAAACTTCTTATTCATTTTCGAAATTAGTACCACTCAGATCCTTAACCATTATGTCAGACAATCGTCTACCTGCAGGTTTTAACATAATGTACATTCCTGAGCTCATTTTGGGGACGTCATCAATCCAGCGCACGTGAACATAGTGTCCATAAATAATTTATAATAACATATCATATAATCATTCTTATTTACCAAAATACCTCGTATGTCATCCTAATAAAAATA